CGCTCTACAAATTAATTCGAATTATTTTGATGGACAATTTCCTCGGTTGAATAACTGTCCTTTCGAGCATCAGTTAGTCAAGACGAGGCGGAGACCATCGAGTAATTGCAGCGTGCCATTAGACTTGACAGACAGGCACTGTAACACTTGGTTTCTATCGTTTAAACGATCGTGTAAACCGTGTAATTTGGGACGTCGTTCGGCACACCGCCGAAATATCTCGCTGAGATTCTTAGGATTGATATATGTGTGGGCGAATCCCGGTACCCTTTCATTTCGTGCCCGCGGGATTCGAGATTTAAGAAATAACGCCAAGGAAGAATTAAAGAGGTTTGCCTTTTAAACGGCGCAATCATGTCATTACGGAAAATACTATCTTTTGACGATATAATGATATATATAGCCGCGATGACTCAAACAACGTAGCACAGACTATTTCGTGTGGGTAGATACGATAAGTTGAAACTTGGTCAGGAATTGTTATTTTAGCGAGCACAATAACTTTCTCTGACAATGAGTTAGCAAATATACATTTAACACTTTTAGAATAATATGCATAATGTATTAAAAACTCCTCTCTTTATAGTATTTAAAATTTCAAACATGTTTGGATAAATTTTGAAAAACATGTTTTTACTGCAAAAATCTTCCCTCTATTCTTTGTTTTATTTATCGTAAAATATTAAATATTTTAATTACGTGAATGATCTTTATTAGTAAAAATTACCAATATTAATAAATGATAAAATTGTTCGTTAAAATAGTTCTCTGTAAATAAAAAGATAACAAGAATAGTGTAAAAATACAAAGCAGAATATCGAATCTGAAGTCTTGTGAAATTTATCTGGCAGGAGAATATTTGAACGTAAAAATAAAGTAAAGAGAATATATCTCTAGAATATAAAATTTAATTGAAATGCCAATTTTATGGGTCAATAACATAATTGATACCTTTTATTTCTTTATTTTCGAATCTGTCTGTCGTACAACTTCAGTAATTTTCATGTCACTTCAATACGCTAAATTTCCCAATACTTAATTCGCCCGTAAAATCACGGCACAATGACCCTACAAAACTTTCTTCGACCGGAATGACATTTGGGCTTCAGTGAAAACGGGAAGGCATCTATCTTTTTCTCGAATCTTTGTAGGTCCATGAGCGTGCTGAGACTCGTAAACGGAGCCACAAAAGAGCAAACTGTTCGGTTGCTGCTACGATGATCTTAAGTATCCCCGAAAAGTGTCCCCGAATCGTTTCGAAATAGGACCTCCGCGATGTGGGATTGCCCGCGCGCTGCAGGTATACATACGCTAAGAACGTCATTTGAACCGTGCCATTGTCAATTTCGTGCCGACAATAGCGACAGCTGAAGGATCAAGCCAAACATTGAGACATATCCCTTGTTGCTCCTGTCACCGTCGTCCCTCCCCATTTCTTCCTTCCCATCCCCCCGCGTGGCTTGGACACTATTATAAAAATATTGGAAGCTCGTCACACGCACAGAATGCATCCCCTGCGAGTATTGTCGCAAACAGAGTCGCGCAACGGGGAAGTTTCTGCGCGATTCCTACGAAGGCTGGACCGGGGGTATGTGAAATCGGATTCACGTGGTCAGACCCTCCTCATAAGAACCGCTTCCTCGTATAATTTAGGTGCTAGGGCTTCCTGAAAAAATATTTGGAACACCTGCACCGTTACATCATCCCCATGCCTGATCCATCGCTCGGCAGCTGATCTCATGATCATGATAAACACAACAGGGCATACGATATGTTTGTGTTGAAAAGTGTGAATGATATTATCCTGACGAGGGAGACACCGAGTAATTTTATATTTATAGAAACTAATTGATGTATCTGCTGTACATAGTAATATTCCTATTTTTTTCTTTTAATTACAAACACTTATTTTAGGAAGTTTTTCTTTTTTTTTTCTTTTTTATGTTAATAATTTTTGTTGGAGATTAAATTGAATGCAATTCATTTCTAATAAATTATGTAAAACAATTTATATATATACACATAAGTTATAATACAGTTTGATTCATTTTCAATTATCCCACGTACTTTTTACTCGAAATAATTAAGTAGAAATAATTATATGCATGAATTATGTTAAACATAAAATTTCAATATTATAAAAGATGTCATATACAAAGATGTGCAAACAAGCTTGCTTATTTATTCTCTACATAGAATAAAAGGAAGATGTCTATGTGATTAATTAAAAAAGGGGCGAAGAAGTAATTAATTAAATCCAGGTTTGCGTTGCTGCCGGCAATATAGCTAGCATGGCATCTCATCACGTAATAGACAAACGCGACGTTTCATTTTTTTTTTCAAAGAACTCTCGTTGCGCAAACGAGAACACCACGAGAAGAAGTTCATTATAGCAGAGTCCTCATAATCGATGAAGATTGAGTAATGTGATTTCGCCGCCGTCATACGATTGCTCTCGATTTGAATTCAAACAACGTTTTGTCGCGAATAAAAAGAGAGATGGATATGAAATAATGTGTGCACTGCCATGGGTAAGAGAGAACTCGTGTAATTTCGAATTACATGGCGCTCACGTATTTTAGAAAATATTTGCTACATCAGCAGTTGTGTGCGATCCCCCGCGGCAGAGAGAACCCACACAGTGAATTATGTCCGCGTGTCCGCATAAAGCGTCATTAGACGGAATACTTCACGGACGTGCATTCGCGACTAACCGACATAAATTTGAACATGTACGTGTCTCGCTTTTCCGGCATTGGGGAGCTCCCGCTATTTGAACGACGTTACTAGAATATCGACGATTATGTTTCGCGTCGGCGATACATCTTTCTTGCATTAGGTACTCAATAAAGACGTTTCCGCTGTTTCTAACTGCGATTTGCGAAAGAAACAAGACTGCAGACACTCAAGTCAAAATCTATCATTTTCACAATAAAGCAAAAACAACTGAAATAAAAACGCTATTTTCAATTTCAAAATTAAATAGAATATAATAATATATCAAATAATAATCATAAAATAATTATATAATATGTTAAAACAAATAAAAACTAATAAATTCATCATTTATTATAAAAATAGTGTATGTGCATGCATCGTAGAAAGGAAAATTTTTCAAAAAAATATTGATATAAAAGAGAAATTTTTAGATTCATTAAATTGCTTGTTTCACAAAAATTATTACAAATGGAACATAATGATTTTGCATTTTCAAATTTAGTGTATATTTTTCTGATTGCAAAATAATAAATTTTTCTGGCTCTAATTCATTCAAGACATTTATTTATTTTGTATTTCAATAAGTGTTCTTTCTTATAAATATAAGTTGTTCACTAAGTAAAGTCATATTATAGGAATGTCATATCGATTCCAACTTTAATGTCTTTACACGGCAAAACAGAGGAAAAAATTTACAAGAGGTAAGCGGGCTTCACCGCGAGAAATTTCATATAACTTTGTGCCGACGGATATTCACGTTGCCTGAAAAATGTTTGGCACACCTGCGGCGTTACGTGATTCCCCGTGGCGACGCAACTCCGATTTCACGAGCACGGGGAGGCCGTGAGCGAATGTAACGCGTGAACGCGGAGTAGTCTCTCTTACGGAACACTTGCGTGGACAAAATCGTCATTAGCGCGACCGACAGCGATTCATTCCCGCGACAGAGTCTCATAAAGTCGATGAGGAATTGGCGGTATCCCCTCGCGATGAGGTCGTTGAGCGCGGTGACGTGGCGGATTCTTTCCCCCCTTTAATGTGACTTTAAATTCCGTTAAATTTATCAACACTACATTGCCAACGATCTCTCAGAACGTAAGTAAGTTGTTAGAATCTCGTAAGAATCTAAAGAACCGCGATAAGATCTTCAGAAATATTTTACAAACGTTAGCAATTGAAAGAATTAATTAACACGGGGTTGAGTAATAACGTGCAATTGTCACGGTAAAATTTATAATGAGCTCTTTCTTGGCTGATATATTTTTTGTAGTCTAAATGTCTTAATTAATATCGCCAATATCGCTTCCAACATATGTTTGCTGTACATTTACATATATATCTCTCTATCTCTGCATGGCGCATTTTAAAATTAAAAAATTAAAAAAAAATTAAATCAGAGTACGTCCGTTGCAAAATTAAGTAATGTTAATATAATATACCGGAAAATTATATAATCAGAGCGTGCAGAACACATAATTCAACACGATATTAATAGTTAAAGATTAATTTAAACTTTATCTACATTTTTGTCGAGAGAGTTTATACGAGAATGTGAAAAAATTGTACTGCAATAAAATTATCCGACGCACTGCTATAATTAGAATTAAAATATTAATTCAACAAGGATTTTTGCAAAGTCACGCATATCGCTCAGCACGCTCTTTCAACGGACTCGTTAACGATAAATATCATATAGGGGGCATTTCACGCGCGGATAACAATCGTGGCGATTATAGTTTCATTATTTATGTTTTCTAGATAGAGCGCAAACGGAAGGATGCCGTATCGACGCTACGTGACGGTGAATGCTACATTTTTAACTGATCACGCGACCATCCTCCGTATCCTTCCGTTGTATACGCGACGGAAACTTGGACGAGCGTGTGAATAAAATGTAGGTCGGGTAAATAATTAAAAACACCGTCGGGGGGAGTCGCGTTCATGCTTCTTGTAAATTTAGCGTGCAAGTCAATGTTGTTACTTTCACGTATCGAACGCGAATACGTGATTATTCGCAGATTTGCGAGTTAGGACACTCCAGTCTGGTATTATTTCACTCCGAAATTAGAAAATATTAAGTAAATAAATATCATAAATTAAATTTATTATTAAATTCCTTTCAGACATTTAATAGAAATAAATATTATTTCTCAAAAAAAGCTTTTTGTTTTGATTATTACTTAAATAATTTGAATAAATAATCCAAAAAAGGTACATATGATAATAAGCATATAAATAATACTGCAAATATAATAGTAGGCAGTATATAAAAAATGAATTACCTTATAGTTGTTCCATCGTTGCTTGATGTCTCCCCAGGCCTCCTCTCAGATTTCTCGTTACATTCACACTCATTCGCGAAAACACGGCATTACAATTACGATCGCACTACGATACCTTACACGGCACTCCCGATATAAATCGTATGTAACTATTCACTATTAATAAAGCCACGCTTTCTTTATTTCGTTCGGATTATTCAGTCCGGTGATTCCGATATCTTCACACTCAATCCATAAATACTGGAGTAATCATGGAATTTAATCTGTAAAGAAAGATAAACGTAAGATAAATTCGTATCCAAGCGTTAATAAAGCTATTATCATTCTAAATATTGCAACAAAATATTCATTTACAATTATTTTATGTCTGTTTAAATTTTTATCTTAAACGAACAAAACCCAAGCATTTGTATCTTCGATACAAAAGTATCTTCGATAAAAGGCCTCGATATGTTTAGATGAATCATGCGAAAGTTATGAAATTGATTGCGCAGATTGTTAACTGCTAAAGAAATGATTATACTTGGTACAATCGCTTTTGGAAAGATAATATGCGATGATACATGAAACAGCTCATGTTACTGCTCGAGTCATGTTGTGCAAATGATAGAACGGTTCACCTTGTCTACACGATAGTACGATGACCTTGTGTATACGCTTTACGTCGCAAATAATGAACGCCAAGTACCTTGTGCTAACAAATTCATCACCACTACGTATTTAATATAAAATCAATACGTGCCGAATATCTGAATTATTAATAAAGGATTTTCTTTAATTAGTCGATACAACGATTTATACATTCCAAATTACTCTCAATTAAATATAATAAATTAATTATGATCAAATAAGTAAAAAATTTAAAGAGTGCTCGTTAAATCAATCTATCGCATTAAATTATATAATTTATAATGTATTACAAGAAAAATTTACATATAACTTAGATTCCTTGTCGTTTCAATTGTTACTTTACAAGTAAATCACGTAATAAACTATCTTGATAAATAATTGTCTTAATTTATTATACAAAGTGCGTGCAGAGTTAATTACGCGAACTGGCAATTGTACAGTGTAATGATTATGGGGAATGATTCGGAGTTTCCTTAGCATATGTCGTGATTTCGAAGACATTAATAACATCATGTATATAAAGTGGCTCGCACCATTACCTCTTACTCGAGTCTTGTCGCATGAATGACAACGCGGCAATCGTGTGTACACAATAGGCCGCGACATACGCTGTATGATGCGGTACATAAAAACCATTGTTGAGGCACGAAATATTTAACATACGAGTATTATAAAACAAACGTCGAATGTTCTCTGTGTTTCTCGCATTCTTAATTAATTTACATAAATTATTATCACAGTTAAGTTTGAAGTTTATTTGAAAAATGAAATATCATTTTGATGGAAAAGGTACTTGCGTAAATTAATTTAAATTATTACTATCATTTTATCCTAAACTTTTATGCTTCTAGAAAAAAATAATTCTGTTTAAATTAAGAAAATTAAATTAAATCGCAGAAAAAATTGCAGCAACGCTTTTGTTTTTCACTCTTTTTGCAACGTCGAAATTTGTAAAAAGATAATAAATGATAACAAATTACAGTTTCTATTTTTTGTTTTCACAAAGATAAATTTTATTTTACAAATTAAAAATTAATTTTAATCGAATAATTTAAAGAAAATATTAAATAACTTGCAAACAATAATTGGAATTTATTATTAGCAATTAGCTGATTAAATGTTAACTATAATCAATTTCGATCGTTTACAATTCGAAAATATGTTATTAAAATATTGCACGGTGATTATGAAAGCCTGCATAGCAATACATTAATAATTATTAATCTAAATTTCTGGTAAGCTTATTAATAAATAAAGCCCGAACATAATGAACCAGCTGGAGCTGATGTAGCGAAGCTTCGACTCCGAGCTTAAGTCTGAATTCGCCATTGTGGCGCATTTCAATCCGTATTTTCGACGAAACTGGGCGATAAACCGAACTGCAATTTCATGCATACGTCATCAGGAATGGTAGGAATCGTCGACTGTGAGCGTCACGTGCGACGTATGTCGATCGTCGCCGAAATACACGGAAATTCTCCCGTTGCACCTAGACGCCTACGAATGGCTCGTGAATTCCAACAGAGAAGCTGACGCCGGCATTTGCGAATTATACATCGATCGTGATCGATCGACAATACCAATAAAGACGATCGCGCCAAATAGCTTGTTCTAAGATTCTAAGGTATCAATCCAACGAAATTTAGCATTCCGATGTACAACTGTAGCATAGACAAGAATATTTGATAGAGTAGGAATTTCATGCCATGATGTAATGTCGTGATTTTTGTTTAAATACACAAATTAATACATATGTTTTATTAGAATTCGTATATAAATCCATAAAATAAAATATTTAATTTGGCTTAAAGAATCAACTATTATTTTATGTTCTTAGTCTTGTCCCTTGATATTTAATTAATTTGATTTTCATAATAATTTTTAATATAAATTTATATTTCTAAATTATTAAATAAAAAATAAAATTAGTTCGTCAATTTCGATTGCTTTAACCATGAAATTAGCGGTTTCCGTTTGCCATTGTAAATTAATCAGTGTAACATGCCCACGATGTCAAAAGTTTTGCGTTAAACACGAGGTTGCACGCTTCATTGTCCACGTGCTTTCTCAGATGACGATCGCACCTGATCGAGCGTATCAATTTTACAGCGGAGTCATGATTCTGCTGAAGAACTCTGCGGGTCGGACTTGATTGTGCCGCGAGAATCGATCGCATGAAAAGACGAGGGGAAAATGAAAAATGATGGTTCCGAATTTTGTCTTCTACGGATTTTCAGCTTTAAAAGCCGTTAAACATCGGGAGGGGAAAAAGGAAGTCGCATCAATGATTCAATATTGACGCACAATGCGGATGAAATTGGTTTTAAGGGCCCCACCCGTCAATAGATCCGTTGTAGAAAGGCCCCGAACATTTCCCTCACGCATATTTCTCGTGCCGACGCCCTCGCATGTGAAAATCATTTGGAACTGCGTCACGGTGCACATCGAAGGACGAGTCTCTTGTAACACCATTGCAATTTCACGCTTTCTATTTCTCGTAACTAATAGGCAACAGACGAATTTTCGTGACAATGTGACGCAATGTTTATCAATGATTATCGATAAATCTCTTGCAAGAAGACAAAACCTGCAAGGATTCTTCATGGGTGTTCTGATTTATTTCCGATTATATACGTAAGAGAAGATAAATTAAACGCTAATGACTATAATGTGCGTAATTTATATTTACTCAATATAAGATTACATATTCGCTTATACGAATAAATATTGCCATTAGTACGATTTAATAATAATAAAGTTAAAATCCGTAATTTAATAAACTTTAATTAATTTTAATTATTAAATAATTTCATTTATATATTTAATTATATGTTAATTAATTTGAGTTAATTATAAGTTCTAGATTTCACAATTATTCACTATTCTCTTCAGAAATACATTTTAGCGCATTTTTATCATATATATTCATATCATAGGTACTAATTACGATAAAATACTTCTTGATATCGTGCATTGGGACAGAGAAAGAGACAGAGAAAGAGACAGAGAAAGAGAAAGAAAGAGAAAAGAAAGAGAAAAGAAAGAGAGAGAGAGAGAGAGAGAAAGAGAGAAAGCGCACACGTTAAATTGCCAACATTTTAATAATACTTAATGGTGACACATAAATAATTTATTTATTTAAATCGTGCAATGCGTCATAACGTCAGCATGCCTTTTTGCATATCGGGACATTCCGCATGCCAACGTGAAATATTATAAATGCGCATTGCAGACGGTACTCTTAGCATTTAGATTTTATCGACGGCTTACGAGTGCCTCGTTCGGTCGGACAAACTCATAAAGCAACATTCGGCAGCGACGTTGTCCATCATACGTTCTTCAAGGATATATCCGCATCGTAAACCGAAATACGACCGACGTGACCTCCGCGAAAGATACGCGACGTAATTCTTGTCGCATACATGCACGCACGCACGCACGCACGCATGTACTTATACGTCGCGGTTATCACGCTCTGCTGCATGTCTCACCTATTCTCGCTTTTTCCTCCATTATTTTTTTTCCTTTCTTCTTCGAGGTGCAAATGGATTTTATGTCGCGGGTTCGTTGAACCGTCGCCGTCGGACGCGATATACTTGATCGTTAAAATAGAAAATACCCGGCGACCATGCAACGTAATGAAGACCACGCGTTATATGCTCTCTTTCTGTCTCTCTTTTTGCTCTGTTAGAGTATTACGTGACACGTGGCGAACGTCCGCGATATTCACACGCGAGATACGAAATGCAGAGACTCGCGAAATGGACTAGATCGAAGATACGCGGATAATCGCACCTCGAAACGGAACTATTTTCACGGACTGTCCGGTTGCACCAACGACTTTGATTGATTCTTGCATTTATTGCAACGCAGAACCGTTGTATTTATTCATTGCATTGATATTATACATATAAATTTGGATTAATATATTTAATGCTGTTTCTTTAATGAAATTATTGATAAAATGTAAGGCAGCAAAAAATGTTTTTATTCAAGTAATACATTTTTGTGAAATTTGTATTTAAAAACTTTTTTGTATTTTATGTGTCTCTTAAATTTATGTTTTATTACATAAATTAAGGTTTTAAATTAAGTTTTCTCTTAGATATTTTAATTAATTTTACTTATTATATTTCTTGCCTTGTGACTTGTGCATTCTTATTTTTATTTAAAATAATACATTAATGCATTAATTTTAATTAAAATAATACATTAAAATAATATAATTATCTACCATTACTTTAAAGCAACTATTTTTATTATTATTTTAATTATTTTATTATTAGATTTACAGTTAAATTAATGCAACTAGTTCTTAATTATTTCAATTAGTTTCATTATTTAAAAAATAACTTTTCATTCTATTATTTATCATCAAAATAATGTTTCCCTTATTTTCCCACATACGAGATTACGGTACAAATAAAAGCTTTCTCTTATCAATATCATGATATAATAATAAACAATAAATATTACCATCCAGATATTATTTTTTCAATTTTCTATTATTTAAAAGAAACCTATTACTTTCGGTTACAAAATTTTTAAAGAATTTATAAATTTTTAATGCGGAAGGAAAAAAATATGTGTAACAGTACGTTTTAAAAAACGTTGAAATCGTATTAGCCATAGGGAATTAACGCCACGCTTTTTCATAATTTTTAATTTATTAAATTTTTGTTAACCGGATTTACTCACCGGCCGTATTACCACTGGCTGTTGACAAATTGACACACTCCCGCCGATTGGTCCTGAAACAATGTATCCAATATTATTTCTGTCCCTTTGTGCCGCGTAACGAGATCGCACGCGTAAAAAAAAAAAAAAAAAAAAAAACAGATATACTCACCAGTCGCTGTAACGTCGCTATTAACCTTTTTTGCCAGTCGACGGATTCACCGTCGCCAAATTTCGTTTCTTTTCCGATTCGACCTCGATTCGGCCGGCACTCGATGCCTCGCTCGCCGATATACGAACCGATTAAAAAATTACGACTAATTACGCGCACCGATAACGCGGCGTTGTCCATTTGCGAGAGCGAAACTTTTTCCCGCGAGCGAGCTCGATTTTACCGTAACGTTTTCAGCGTGATGCGAATAATACGGGACGCGTGACGAGATTATTGCGCGACCGCGCTGATCGCGCGCGCGCGTCCCGTAAGCGACGTTTAATTATACGAATGTGTGCGTTTGTTAATGAGCATGCCCGATGCTTTTCGATTCTTTCGCCGGCGATATTTTTTCAGCGTGCTTTCGGACGAGTGAAAGACGATTGGATTTTGATCGTTGCGAGGCGTTTTTCGACCGACTCTCGTGCGAGTTAAAATTTCGAGGGTAACTTCGTACCGACGCGCAACCGCCCGCGTGAACGAACGCACCGGTTTTCCATTGCGCGGCGCCTTGCTCGTAATCGTCGCGCCGAGTGCGACGTCTCAATTAGCGCCCAAGCCCGCAGCAAACGCATTCGTCGTCCCCCGATGATTGTACGCACACGAAAGTCGCGCTTTCGACAGCGGAAAACGCGACTTACACGACCCGCGGATGCTTCCCAAACGCGTGATGTACGTACATACGTCACGATCAAGGTGCGCACCGTGCGCGATTCGGAAGCGACTGCCGACGACTGCCGAATCGTCTCGAAGTAGCCCGACGTGATACGCATGGCGCGACAAACCGTGATTCCAATGTCGCGGAAGAAATAATCGTTAATTGTTATATATATAATTGTTATATGTATGTACGTTATAATTAGCAATGCTCTCGTCGATGTGATCTCTCGATGCGTGTGATTTTCGACAAATATCGTAAAAACACGAAAAACTGAATCGATATTTGTTGTGCATGAAACATTATAAGCTCGTGCAGACACCGGCGCTTCTGATTGGTCGAAAGATTTGCGGCTGGACGCTCGTCCATTACCATTCGTCAACACTAGGTGCGTTTTTCATGCATGATGCTTATGATATATCATTTTACTTTTGTTTAATATTCAATGAACAACAAAAATAAAATGATTATGCGCATTATGCATAAAACGGAACGCATCTACTCTCTATAGGTATGCGACAATAGATTCGTGCAGACAGCAAAAAGCGCGCGATTTCGAGTATATTAACGTCAAGTAGATGCGGGATAGAGAATTAAACGAGACGGCTTCATTGTAAATCGAAAGGAGGCAACGTTTTTTAGTACGACGCGACGCGGGCCGCGCCGTGCGACTCGGTGATGTAAACAACACGGGCCGTCCGGTTGATGTAAACAACGCGCTACTAGGAATTCGCGTTTCTTGTTTTCCCGGTATAACGCGCCTGCGTTAGGACGGATGGCGTTACGCAGAACATAATCAGCGTAAACGTGAGTATATCCTCGCGTTAACGCTCGAGATTGTTCCATTTTACCCTCTAAATTAATAGCAAACAGTGTAAAATCTGTATTCAGAGTTTATATTCACCTTTAGATTGAAAGCGAGAGGTATCGCCGTTATCGCAATGATCGCGTAAGTTCTAACTAGAGTCGAATACGGAATTTAACTTTTTGATGGATTACTTGAAGTTTTGACACATATATAAGACGAATAGCTTTACGCACTTTACAAAGTGTACGAATCTATTTTGATTTATCGCGAATTAGAAATGCGAGTATAGGTAATGTTCATGAAAATCGTGGAAGATGAGTGGCCAATCAATTTACCGCTTTTCCACAAGAAAATTGTGATTGGCTACAGCGTATCTTGTCGCGCAGCCAAGTGTTCAGAGCCAAATATCAAATACCCAATTAAATTACAATTTTGAGGTGCAGTTTGATTGTACAATACTGTACTGCAAAGCTTCAAAACTGATTGACCAATCAGAAAAAAAAACTAATTAATTCAATCAAAAAAGCGCTTAAAAAAATATTTGTAGCATTAAGTGAACCGTATAGCCTCGAATTAAAATCACGAAAAGTTTCATGAATGAATTAGCTTGGTATACTCCGTAGAATATATAGATATGTTTTAAAACCGTGATTTATTTAAGGCAGCAAAAATGTATCGTATTTCTGATTAAAAAATTTACTTCATTTATTCTCGTTATTCGTGACTTTATACAACAACTACATCCTCAGTCGAAAGTTGAGAAGTATCTAATATTAATTCTATTCTACACGACGATAATTTCGAAACTTGCGTAATCGCGATTCGTCCCCTTTTTACTCAAGTGTAGATCGTCGCGCGGCGATCGTGATTGCGACATCTAGGTATGTGACTTATTTCGCGGTCGATCGCGGAAGAGCGCGCTTCGATCCAAGGCCGGGAGTAGCTCGCGTTACGCACTTTTGATGGTCAAAATGGGACGCCGTGTAAATACAAGAAGTCGTGCCGAGAGATTTCAGGTGATATGCTAATCAGGACGTAGCAATTTAATCGAATCGCGGTCGATGGTCGCGCAACAGAATCGTCCACCGCGTTCGTCGCGTTCGTCGCGTCCGTCGCGTCGGTGCGACGTGAAGTTGTCTTCGCGTACCCGCGGATCGTCGCGCTCGCGCGCACGTGTGACGTGAAGTTGCTTCGCGTACCCGCGGAATCCCTGCCGTCGCTTTTCACACGATCCGAGTGAATTGCGTCGCGTCGAGACGAATTGTCGGAATTTAGCCGTGCATTTTGCCCGTTCCAAAGTGAGTTTCGCGTACGAGAAAGTGCCGGGAGTGCCGTATACAATGCCGCGCGACGTTAGCGTGCGTAATTATAACGCGCGCGATGATACGCGATCGAACCGCTATCTCGTGAGATGAGACGCGCGTGGGACGTGTTTGATCTGCGCTGTGTCTGTTCACTTTCGGCTCACAATCAGTTAAGAATTGAGAATCGCAGGAGTGGAGGTTGGCCGGCCAGTGAATTTCAGCACTTTGGGCATTACGGAACAATAACCTCTCGCACAATTCGTGCCTCTACTGTCTAATTGTAAGTACGTATAATATATCTACGTGCCCTACGGAAAATCCGCTAGCGGACGATTTGTTAATGCGAACATTCATCATGTAAGCTCTATGCGGTTAATTATATTATTTATACGATAAATTATTTCATGGATTAATTATGGGCATGTGTATGTTAATTAAAATATATAATATTTGTATATATGATAATTGGCTGATATTTATATGTAATAATTAATTTTGGGTGTTGTGTGTATGTGTGTACAAAAGTAATAATTTTATATATAAAGTAACTGGCAGCGTTTGCATTATTTTCTGTATTAGCCGTAATTCGTTATTTGCAGTCATCATATCATTTGTAGATTACTTAACTGTCAAATTAGAAACGGGAAATTTTTATAGTTATATCGTGATTGTTATATTTATAACAAGTGATTCAATAAAAATATGAATTAGTATCTATAGCGATTGATCGTGATATATTCTTTATCAGTCAGGATTATTAGTTGTAGTTGTAAAATTAATTGTTGTAAATTAATTATTGTAGAAACGGCAAATTGTTATAATTAATATTATGATATAATATTGTTATTCATATAAAAAATTGCGTAATTTTTCATCGAAATGAAGTAACGATTGAGAATAATCGTGATATATTCTTTATTAGCCTTTATTATATTAAAGGATCTTTGCTTGTTATTAGATTAATTGTTAGAAATTAAATATTGTAGATTAAATTAAATGGGAAATTACTAGTTAATATTGTGACTGTTATATTTATAAGAAATTGTACATGTGACTTAATCGAATACAAAATATAATAATTAACAGTGATCATATTCTTCATTAGCTCTGATCACTGCTAGGTGTTAAATTATTATAAATCAATGATTGTAGATTAGACGGGAATAGCTATATGTAATTTTGTCATAATCATTATGCTTAAAATTACTATATGATTTAATCGAATTATACGATAATAACTGGCAGTAATCGCGATTATTTTCTAAATTAACTGCGATCATTGCTTATAATTACTGCGTGCAGTTGTTAATTCAGTTTAGAAACGTGATATAACTACTAGCCAGAACTAATTTCATGATTATCATATTTAGTAAGAGCTACTTATCTGATATCTGAATTACGATTTTACAATCATTGGCAGATTTTTAATATTTTGAAGAATTTTTGTCTAATCGTCTAATACATAATGGAAAATTTACTGACAGGCTAGAATCGTATTTTCATTTTTAAAGAATATTAAAAATTGTCCAAAATACAAATCGCGCGATTATCACGTAACAGACATGTATGAATTAATCGTAATTAATTAAATTACGATATGCGATTAATGATAAAATATATGTTTGTATTCGTGCATATCTCAATAGTATCATTTTCATATGTTGCATATTAAATTGTGCGTATTTCAGGAGTGCCATATAATATTAGTTAATATGCACGATTGTAATAAAATGTATAGCAACCTATTTTTATTATCTAAATGAGTGTTTTTCATGAAAAAGAGAAAAATGTAGTAAAACGTATAGCAACGACGTATTTATTTTTTTATACGTATAACGGCTGATAATTAAATTCATTTAATATTGTATCTTTCTCAAGTATTGTTTAATTTCGGATGATATAATGATTGAATTTAGAGAATATTGCTCTTCGATCAAATTATAAATCTTTTGGTCGAATTATATAAATTTTAATTTTAGTTCATGTTATTTTAAACTTAATTTGGCTTTCAAATTCCTAATAATTCCGTCTATAAGGCTTTTTTGCGACCGCATTAATATTTTTTTAATTTATCTTTTTTTCTTTTGATTTTTATTTAACAAACTTTAGAAACTATTTACGAATAATGTAAATCAAATCGAATTTTATACTTATATTATTTTATATTTATATTATTATACTTATATATTTAAACTATAAAATAACTTTTAAAATAAATAATAAAATATATAAATATATTTTTACAGGAACATTTATGAATGTGTCAGCTTGACAGTGCTGTGGGTGAGTCAATTCTCATATTTGCACAATTTACACATAATATTAATTAATTATTTATTTATTATGACTTGATATTTCTGCATTGCGAATTGAGTATACAATGGTTGATACCATTACGACAATTGCATTGAAATAGCGGTCTCTCGATAAAAAATAATAGTATTGTAATCATAATTATATCTCTACTTAATTTTTTACGAAATAATTTATAAACTAAAATTATTAATTATTAAAATTTGTAAAAAAAATCTACTCTGGAGAAAAATATCATTAAATTTGTTTCGTCACGATGATACATAAAATTTTTACGAAGATATCGCAGGCTCATATTATCGGCTCTTATTTTTGGTACGGTCCGCGTTCCGAATAATCGAGCACCAGGATAACGAGAAATCGATACGACGTGATACCACTTATCCCTTGACGAAATTCTAGCCGCAGATTAACCCTTCCGATGTTTTGGAGGCAATATGTCTCATGATATTAAGCCTTCTTGATTTCACTCTTAACTATATTTTACTTGTATGAATGTAATAATGTTTCTTCAACTGTAATTTTAGTTTTGGGGGTAGAGAGTATCATAATGGAAAATATGTATAGTCTTGGATAAAATTATTATTCTGAAATTTTCTTATTTACAAACTTTTCAGCTTAATAAGAGTAATACAATAAT